TGATTGTTGGAAGTGACCTGTGCGACGCCGACTTTGAATGTGTAGTAGTTGCTATTAATCTCACGAACACAACTACGACTGTGGCAAGCATAAATTTTGCTGAAGTGCTTGTGGCACTCCAGCAAAATATGCTTATTAGTGACTGTGGCAAGCATACATCACATTGATGGAGTGCCTGCTATCTAAGTGTGGCCCGTCATTTCTGTTGTGTGGAGATTTTAATAATGCCTGTCATCCTCGTTGGTGCTGTTGCCCACAAGACAATTGTGGAGTGGAAATCATTGAGCTCATTGTTAAACACGATATGCAGACCCTTAATGATGGCTCCTCCACATTTGTCGGCAGAGGAAAGGAACAATCCACAATTGATTTTGCCATATCAACGAGAGACGTGCGTCCTACTTGGTCAAGCGAAGCTGACCTATGGGGTTCAGATGATCTGCCCATTTGGCTGGTTTCAGAGAATCCTCCTAGCAGCCAAAGTGCTGCCTACTCAGTGACGAATTGGGGCAAGTTCCTTGAGCTGATAGCAGGGGTGCCATCACACGATCACTCATTCAAACTAGTTAGTGAATGTCTACAGCAAGCTACAGTACGACGACTGCGAAACATAGATAAGGCAATCCCTGACCTAAAACTCTTGACACAACGTGCTTGTCGCCGCGTGCTTACAGGAGGGCACAACGTTCCAAAATAAGCTCTGATTGGACGCTTCATAACCACTTACATGTGGCCATTAGGCGGCACACAAAAAAACTTTGTCGAAGAAGTTGGGCCGCATCATGCAGCTCGTTGCATATGGCGAGTGCTTTTGGGAGTGTATGGCGCATATTGAAGGCTCTCCGAGCACCTGAGGTCTGCAAGAACCCAACTACTGCGTTGTGCATCATGACTGGACGGTCCACAAAAAATCTTGCGGAAGATTTTGCCAATATTTTCAACTGCCTTATGTCAAGAGACAACGCCAGTCATTGTTCCGTAACAATTTTATATGGACCTCCATGCGAGATGCGTGAGGCAGAATTTACCCTGGCCGAGCTGCGTCATGCGCTCAGCCTCTGTTATTGTCGCACTGCCCCAGGCGAAGATGGTGTTACATACCAAGCCTTGCGAAACATTGATGAGGTCTTTCATCAATATATCCCAGACGAATACAACAAAGTGTGGCAAACCAGTATAATTCCTGCTGAATGAAAATCGTCTGTGGTGAAGCCAATTTGAAGGCCTGGTCACCAGACACAACACCTGAAATCATAACGGCCAATATTATTGACTTCTAATGTTATGAAGCCGATGGAACGTATGGTGCTGTTTCGTCTGAACGCGAGATTACCGGAGCGCGCTTTATTCCATGATATCATGAGTGGATTTTGTCACTACCATTCAGCCCTCGATAGCATAGCAGATCTTGTATTATTGCTTGAATCTGCTCGAGCAAACAGACATTCTTGACATACAGCAAGCGTTCGACTCGGTACAACATAAGGGGATTTGTTTATGCACTCATGGATGGAGAAATTTCAAGTCATCTGTTACACTTTCTCCGTGATTTTCTATGTGAGCGCAGAATTACCGTGCGCATTACAGAAGTACAGATTGAACCTCGAGTTGTTGAATGTGGCGTCTCGAAAGGCAGCGTCTTGTCACCGCCTCTTATTAACAGCGTACTTGCTGGACTTCCAGGCTGATTACCGTAAAAATGTGACTTTCCTATAGGCATTACAATTTATTCTGATGACATCGCACTCTGGGTCAGTGGTCCGTCACACCATGGTTCACATCTTCGTGGTGTATTGCAGCGAACTCTGAATGCAATTTCAGAATACTTGGTGGAAGTTGTCCTGCAGGTTTCCCCTGCGAAGTCAGCTGCGATCGCGTATCATCCAGGGCAACGCACTTGCAGAAGCCTTAGCCGGCTTTACATTGGAGGCACACCGATACAGTGGGCACACCAACATTGCTACCTGGGTGTAATCGTCGATGATCACCTGTCTTGGCATCCTGCTGTTAAAACTGCGAGGCGAAAATCATTGTCTCTGTTTATGTATGTAGCCGCCTTGACTGCTATGGGTGATGGCATTGATCAGAAGATAGCACTACAGGTTTCCCAATCAGCTGTACTCTGTTATGTGATGTATTCCTTGCCAGTCTTGAATGTACCACCTGGTTTAATGTTTTAGCTGGAACGGGATTATCGTGTTGTCCCCCAAGTACTGTTTGGTTTACCTCGTGAACCACATTTTTTCCACTACTGACTGAAGCACACCAGTTGCCGCTGAGGCTGTAAGCTGACCAGAGAGTGCTATATCACATTGAGCATATGAACCAAGTTTCAGATGGCAAGACACTCTTTAACAGGTTGTCACAGCACCCACTTTTTCAGATGGGTAAAATGGCGGCCTTGTTCAATGACATTACTGGCAAATCTGGGAAAACCATTGAGTTGCTAAGCGAGAGAGCGAGAAGAAAAGGAAGGAAAGGCAGGGAGGTTAATTAGAAGTTGAAGCATCCAGTTTGCTACCTTGCAGAAGGGAAAGAAGAATGAGGAGTAAAGATGGAAAATAAAGCGGAAAGCGAAATAAACGCGTGAAAGAGAAAAGAAGAAAGTAAGCTGGGGTGCTATAGTCTATTCAATAGGCCACTACCACGCAAAAATTCAATAAAGAATTCACTGATTTTTTTGTGCACAGACATATTATGTCGCCTTTGAAGTTGCTATCGACAGAGCACAGCCCATGTGCCTTCCCTACCCATCTGACGATTCCAGGAATACGCAAAAAGTATGACCAACCTGTTTCGGAACTATACCAATTAGCCCATTCACACCTATTTGAAAACTTCGAATGCTATGCAAAAGTACTTACAGACACTTCTGTACGCAGCGATAGCCTGAGCGCTTCTGCAGCTTTCTTCGGCCCTTCAACCGATATCGCGTGGTTGTTTAAAATACTGCACTTCTCATCATCGGTGACGGCCAAGCTACCAGCGATTGATGTCGCCCTCAAGTACGTACAAGAAGGGTTGCCAGCATCGAAGGTTGTCATCCTCACCGACTCTCGGGATTTCTTAGCATATTCACCAGCAAGGAGACCGGCTGTCCTGGAAGCAGCATCACGGAATCCATCGACAATATTCTGTCACGTCGGGGATGCCTAGCTGCACATTGGGTACCTTAGCACGTGAGCATTGCGGGCAAAGAAGAAGTGGATCACTTTGTTCGTCATGCAACCATGATGGCTGTGATTGTCCTGGAATTCTACGTACCATAGACAATGCTCGTCTGCTTATACGCCGACACGTCCTAAAGTAGCACCCAGACCAGCGTGTAGCGAATGAATTGTTCCCTCCCCGTGTTTGTGGCCGTAGCTTGCCTGGTCGTTTCCGAGCGCTGTTGTACAAACTAAAAGTGGGCTCTGTGCCGGTGCGTGAACGATTACACCGTCAAGGGTATGTGGACAGTGCGTTGTGCGCAGCTTGTGGCTCCTGCGAAACACTTGCGCTTCTCGTGGTGCACTGTGCTACATTTACTACGCAGCGATCTTTTTTGATTAACGACTATACATTCCTAGGACTCAAGTGCGCGACCCTAGACGACTACCTACTTCTGAGTGGTTGTGCTTCCCGACGCGACCAGGCCCACCAAGCTCTCCTTTAATGAGCCAAATGGACCTTGCCACCCGTTTATAGACGTTTTTTATTATTTTTATTAGTTTTCGTAAACTTTTTCCTTCCTCTTATTCTCCCCTCTTTCTCCCCACTTATTTTTATTCCTCTGTTCCTTCCCTCCCCCGAAAGAGTGAGCAAAGCGTTTGTGCCCCTCCAGGTGGCAGTCGCCAGCTTGTTCTCTCCCTCTCCGCTGTGTCCTTGTGTATATATGTATGTAAATCAAATAAATAAATAAATAAAACCGAAGTCAAGTCGCCACAGCTGGGATTTGATCCCGCGACCTGTGGGTCAGCTGCCGAGTACCTTAGCCACTAGACCACCGTGGCGGGGCACTGGTGTCCTACGCCGGTGGAGTCAACACGAGTGATGTAAAAGGCATTGTCATGTGCTGACATCACCAGGTGATGTCACAGATAATCATACTTTGTGACGATATCATGGCATCACTGTGACGTGATTTAAGGTGACATCACAGTGGCGACATAATGTGACGTACTTAGCATAATGTCATAAGGTAACGTCCCTCAACGCAACGTCGCTTACATGTAAGTGACTCACGACCTTATATATTTATGAGATCACTTAGCATAGCGTTACATGGCGTTGTCACATGCTAACGTGGATGCATAAGGCATAACATGGATGCACGGCATGACATGGCACAACGTGAATGGATAAAGAATCCAAGCAGCTTCAGTAAAAATCAAACGGCATTGTAATCTCTGTTTATTCGTTCTAAAAACTGATTGAATTAGGCATCCGTGTTTATGTTCCAGTAGAATAGATACAAAATCTAGGTAAAGAAAAGTTTGAATGGTGCGCTCAGCTTTTTTTCCAAGTTTCCTAAGTAGTTATTAGCATCTATGCTGTTTTGAAGTCAAGAAAATAAAATATACGATGCGCAAAAAAAAGAACTTTGTGCCTAAACTACAGCTTGCAGGAGCAGGCTCTCGAGTACATGTGTCGCAGTTTTCGTGGAGCACGATTGAACATAACCTTTGTGTTTGATGTCGAAATGTTGTTGAGCTCAACATCTCAAACAAGGCAGTGAGAAGCCTCGTTCGCTAGAAAATATCGGGAGCCCTAGCTGGCTTTGGTGGACAAAGCTAAGCGAGCCGCATAAGAGTAGCCTTGAACCAAAGACACCAGCTACTTGCCCAGCAGCTTATTATCAACAATAGTTTTGCACTGCTATTCGTTTATTTACACTTTATGTCGAATGTACACTTTCATTCTACACGTACATAAACTCAATTGTCTCCAACAATGTTGAACACGTCATGATTCATTCTAAATATTGCGGACACCATATCAGGCCTGCCGTTACCGTCAGATCTTATGCGTGCTTTGTCGCAACTCTGAATGAAAGAATACCAATGCTTTTCATGTATTGAAGCTCGCATCACACACTCATGTGCTATTAGTTTCCACTGAATATACCACTTCTTTTGTTGTTTTATTGACGTCGCTAAGCTGCTACAAATATATACTAAAGGACGTGGTGAACAATGATGCAACATTGTTTGTGATCTACGACGGCCTTATTTGCCTATGCGTTAAAAAAATTCTCACAAATTATACGAAATCAGTATGAAAAGCCAAGAGTTGCGGCTGTGCACAACATTTTATCTTCTTTATACACATATTAAAGCATGACTTGCGCATTCTCTGTTATTGCTGAAGGGCACTATCGTCTGAGAAATATCGTCTGAGGAATAATCGCGTGTACAGTGATGAGAAGCTGTGCTAAACTCTACGCAAAGATTAGGTTCTAAGCATTTATTTTTTTTATTTCTTGCGCATGACCCTACTTTAAAATAACAAATAATGACTTCACATCCGTGTCCTCTTAGAATCAACTCAAGAGCAAAGTGCTTTGTATTGTATGTATAAAAGAGCAGGCATAAATATTTTGAAATTGAATCAATAGAGCATAAATAAAGAACAAAGGGTTTTTCGACTAGAGTGGGAATGATTTTCACAATTCACAAAAGTGACGAGAGTTATGAAGTTGAGCATTAAATGGTGCGCATGAATTTCGCGGCATAAATAATGATGGCATAATTAATGGAGTGTGAAATGGCACTGATTCGGGCACTTCTCCCGTGCTTGTGAGTAGCGTTTCCATGCCCTCCGGCTACCACGGACGCCCTCGGTCCTTCACTTAAGGGTGCAAAACTTTTTCTTTGCATCTCGAGATTTGGCTTTGAAGTAAGGATTGATGAAATTTTCCATGAAGCTAGCAACTCGGGTGAAGAACCATAGGCAGCGTCGAGTCTCCACAGGTAGGCGGACCACCTGAAAGAACCCCCTGCAAGAACCAGTGTCCCCCGATGTTTTGCATAATAGGTGCTCCACTGTCTCCCTGTAAAAAGGACAAGGAAATTTCTATTTAAATTGTACTGTGGTAGAATAGTTCAACATTGAGTTCCATAAACTGGCGATTGTTATTTTGAATAAAAATGAGAAAATGATTAAATAATTTGTGACACGTTGCCAAGTTTATGACACTACGATACGCTTTAGCTGATGCGATAAAGTTCAGGTATAGTTAGTCAAGTTCAAAGCAATCATTTGATAATACAACAATTAATATGAAGATTACGCAAGCAACCAAGAATTCGGAATTCCTTGATGTTGCATACGACGCGAATGACAAAACATATTTCATAATTTAGCGTTCTTCGACATAAAACAATCTTAGTAGCTCTGGTATATTTAGAGATGGTAGTTGCGTGGACTGAGCCGCCTAAATCTGCGACCTCTGAGCCAAAGAGAACCACGGGTGCCGCATTCAGTCATGGTGCGATACAGTGATGTAAGCGAGGGACAAATGCGCAACTATACGTAGAGTGCTACATGCCATGAAGAGACAACGCTATGCAGGACGCGATCATACTGAAACATTGTATTTATATATTCATTTGTTAATTTACCAATACTGTTGACAGAAGGCTACGGAAGGGTCGTGCAAGAATATTTGTAAAAGCTAGACGGCAGCCGCCACCCGCAACAATTCTAAATATGGCAGATACACAATAAAATGGGCAGTCGCGCTCAATATAAGTCGCCACAGGCTGGCTGTAGTTAGAGTGACGTCAAGCCGCAATAAAAACACCTACAACTGTTAATTGCATGAGTCGGGTGGTACCGCTAATTGAGAAAGTTTAATTCAGATTTTTTGTCTGAACATGCCACTTAGCAATTTTTTGCGTCATTTTGAGTAGATCCTGCGTGTCGAACTTGATATTCAGTGCGATTGTGCAATAGAAGCAAGAGGAGAAATCGGCACATATCGATCACTATGTCATCAGTTTTATCAGAGCTGCTACATATAATGCAGCTAGGAAACTATGTTTCAATCGGAGAAGTCGCTGTCAGTAAAATTGAAACTACGTGCTTGCAGTGGAAATGAGAAGCTTAGTTAGCAAATGTTTCAAAACGAATGAGACGGATCTTTGTTAAAAGCTCGTGTGGCAGCGAGTTCCATACTCCTATTGTTCAAGGAAAAACGATCACTTGTAGCTTTTGTATGCCACCAGTTTTGCGTAAAACAGCTCGGAATGGTCGGTCAGGCATAAAGTTGGCACGAATAGAGCGAGTACAATTCAAGTTTTTCATAAGTCATTTACGCGTTCAGATGTGCATACCTCACAAACGTGTTTTTCTGGGTTGTCTCATTTGCTTTTATTTAATGTAAAACATTAGTTCAAACAAAGTTGTGAAGCCTCGTTCCATTTGCTACATTGCTATGTTCCTCTGTCACTCACTCAGTTATATTTAATTTCGCTCTGCATCCTCCTGTCTGCGTGTCTCACGTCAGATACACGAAAATGCTATTGCTTGGATATAAGCAATTAGAGCATGAACATACTGGCATTTGAATGCCCGAATGAACACAAAACGCACCAGCTGTACCGTGTAATAAAAAAAACACAAGTATTCAAACAGCTTACCTCGCAAAGTGAGCCACCATCATGTGGCGCACACAGCACGTCGTCGGCAAGAACGATATCAAAGTGCTTCAAGCAGGAGTTCTTGCTCAGAAGAGTCAGCTTCAGCTCCTTGAGGGATCTCCTCATGCGACGGTATCCCTTTCCTATGTGCACATGAAGAGAGAGGAGGAGCAGTTATATTTGGTACACTTATAACCCTCGCGGAAGAGTACGGAGATAGTATATCTAATATCGTATGTGAGAGCTTTAGCGGCATTCACGTATGCCATTTGGGCGGCTGCAGTATCGAAGCTGTATATTGCGTTGCCCGCCCAACCTCGTGAACTACTCTGTTTTAGCCGAGCTCGAACAGCTACCCCGAATATAAAGTAGTGCAGGTGATAATGTTGTATACAGACGATGAAGGTGTGCAAGCGATAACATGTAAGAATGATATTACGAAAGGCAGGCTTATGGTGAGCTCAAAACCAATTTACCACCATGACTGAGATATTGCCTCTCATTGGTGACAGCGCAAAACTATAAACTAGGATTTGTGAAAATAACAACTATATAGGGTTCCTTAAACTAAGAGACATTGTTCAAAGAAATTGAAGCTTCCACAAGGATTGCCAAACAGCATTGCACGCATGAACCTTAATACAACTGCAATAAATGTGCGCCAAACTAACACTTAGTGTTTTGTTGAATGCCCTAGTCACCGTGTCTTAACCATAGTACCAAACAAGCAAAGCAGGTTACATACGCGGTCTAGCTGTCCATCCCGCCGTGTATGCCTCGGAGTCTGTTGGGAAAGTTTCCTTTCGGTAAGGGAGACAGACTGGTGAAATGGCAGTTGTGAAATTCACCGGCTGTGCAAGAGTTGCCCCCCCCCCCGATTGTAATCTTAGGCCTCGACTTCCTATCCGCGCATTTCTGCCCTCATAGACTGTTCGACCAGTACGCTCCGTCTACACTTGCCCGCAACAGAACCTCTTACACAACGGCCGAGTCGCCTCTGCACAACGGGACACGCGCGCCTCCCTCCACAGACACTGACCTACATAGAGCTCGTCTCAATACCCCCAGTTCCCGACGGTGACTATGTTCTGACCCCTATCACCGATGTGCTCACAAGCCGTGTCATTACATTACCGCACACCATTCTGTCCGTCGCAGGAAATTCTACGTGCCTCCCAGTTGTCAACTTTAGCTTGACACCTCAAGTTTTGCCGCAAGGGATGTCTTTAGCGTTGCTCTGCACCTTAGAGACAATGCGGTAGATGTTTCGCGATGGCCGCCCCTTCTGAACCCCACGCTCAACATCAGTCTGCCACTTGCTCCGACAGCGCTATTACTTCGATGATCGCTTCCAACTTAACACCGCAGCAGACTGATGAGCTCCACCGGGTTCTGCTGTCCTACATCGACGTATTTGACATCAGCGGCCGTCCGTTAAGGAAAGCTACCGGTATGAGCCACCGCATAAACACTGGTATGAGCATCCTATTCATAGGCGCCCATATCGGGTGTCGGCGGCCGAGCGTCACATCATCCAAAGTGAGGTCGACAAAATGCTCGCCAAGGACATCATTGAGCCATCTTGGCAGTCCTTGGGCTTCTCCTGTAGTGCTAGTCCGCAAGAAAGACGGTGCATGGCGTTTCTGTGTGATTATCGACACCTAAACAAAATTACCAAAAAGACGTCTACCCTCTGCCACGAATAGATGATGCGCTTGATTGCCTCTATGAGTCCCACTATGTTTCCTCCATAGACCTTCGTTCCGGCTACTGGCAGATAGAGGTAGATGAAATGGACCGTGAAAAGACGGCATTCATCACCCCCGATGGCCTATATCAGTTAAAGGTCATGCCCTTCGGCCTTTGGAACGCTCCAGCCACCTTCGAACGAATGATGGACTCCCTGCTCAGAGGATTCAAATGGTCCACATGTTTGTGCTACTTGGACGACGTCATCGTCTTTCACCAACGTTGAAACTCACATAGAGCGCCTCTCAGCCATCCTGGGAATCTTCCGTCGCGCTGGCCTGCAGCTCAACTCGTCCAAATGTCACTTTGGACGCCATCAAATCACAGTGCTTGGCCATTTAGTAGACGCCAACAGTGTACAACCAGACCCGGCAAAAATCAGCGCCGTCAAAAACTTTCCTGTACCACGATCTGCGAAGGATGTACGCAGCTTTATCGGACTATGCTCCTACTTCCTACGCTTCGGTGAAAAATTTTGCGCACATAGTGAGGCCGCTTACGCAGCTCCTCAAGAAAGAAGTCCCGTTTTCATGGGGCTCCGAGAGGCTTCGCGTTCTCGACTCTCGTCGCTCTTCTCACTACCCCTCCGATTCTGGCACACTTCAACCCTGCTGCCCCTACGGAAATCCGTACAGATGCAAGTGGGCATGGCATTGGTGCAGTGCTGGCTCAGAAACACATGGCCATGATTGCGTTATTGCATATGCCAGCCGCCTCCTATCCGCCCCTGAACGTAACTATTCGATAACAGAGCGTGAGTGCTTGGCTCTTGGTATGGGCGTAGCGAAATTTCGACCTTATCTATACGGACGCCCATTTTCGGTAGTTACCGACCACCACGCACTCTGCTGGCTGAACTCTCTGAAAGATCCATCAGGCCGCCTTGGTCGCTGGGCTTTGCGCCTGCAAGAGTTTTCCTATTCGGTGGTCTACAAATCTGGCCACCACACCGTGATGCCGATTGCCTCTCCCGGTACCCTGTCGACGATCCTGAGGACACTGACGAGCCCACGAGAACTCTATCTTGTCAGTGTCCGACTTTCTTAATATTGGGGAAGAAAGAAGCGTGATTCCAGAGCTGCTTGACATCATCAGCCGTATGGAATGCCTCCACAATGATGCTTCCGTCCGCTACTTTGTCATTCAAAGGGGGTGCTATACCGTCGCAATTTCCGACTAGACGGGCCCGACCTTCTCATTGTTGTGCCTAAGCATTGCGCCGCTGTGTTTCTCACCGAACTTCACAACGCTCCCACGGCTGGACACCTTGGCGTCATCCCGCACGTACGAGCGCGTCCGGCGCCGTTTTTTTCTGCCAGGCCTTGCTCGTTCGGTACGCCGATACGTCGCCACATGTGACCTATGCCAACGTCGTAAGACACCATCGCTGCTACGCATGAATTTCGCGGCATAAATAATGATGGCTTAATTAATGGAGTGTGAAATGGCACTGATTCGGGCACTTCTCCCGTCCTTGTGAGTAGCGTTTCCATGCCCTCCGGCTACCACGGACGCCCTCGGTCCTTCACTTAAGGGTGCAAAACTTTTTCTTTGCATCTCGAGATTTGGCTTTGAAGTAAGGATTGATGAAATTTCCATGAAGCTAGCAACTCGGGTGAAGACCATAGGCAGCGTCGAGTCTCCACAGGTAGGCGGACCACCTGAAAGAACCCCCTGCAAGAACCAGTGTCCCCCGATGTTTTGCATAATAGGTGCTCCACTGTCTCCCTGTAAAAAAGACGAAAAAATTTCTATTTAAATGGTACTGTGGTAAAATAGTTCAACATTGAGTTCCATAAACTGGTGATTGTTACTTTGAATAAAAATGAGAAAATTATTAAATAATTTGTGACACGTTACCAAGTTTATGACACTACGATACGCTTTAGTCGATGTGATAAAGCTCAGGTATAGTTAGTCAAGTACAAAGCAATCATTTGATCATAGAACAATTCATATGAAGATTACGAAAGCAACCAAGAATTCGGAATTCCTTGATGTTGCATACGACGCGAATGACAAAACATATTTCATAATTTAGCGTTCTTCGACATAAAACAATCTTAGTAGCTCTGGCATATTTTGAGATGGTAGTTGCGTGGACCTGAGCAGCTTAAACCTGCGACCTCTGAGCCAAAGAGAACCACGGGTTGCCGCATTCAGTCATTGGTGCGTATTAAGTGATGTAAGTGAGGGACAAATGCGAACTATACGTATGAGTGCTACACGCCATGAAGAGACAACGCTATGCAGGACGCGATCATACTGAAACATTGTATTTATATATTCATTTGTTAATTTACCAATACTGTTGACAGAAGGCTACGTAAGGGTGGTGCAAGAATATTTGTAAAAGCTAGACGGCAGCCGCCACGCGCAACAACTCTAAATATGGCAGATACACAATAAAATGGGCAGTCGCGCTCAATATAAGTCGCCACAGGCTGGCTGTAGCTAGAGTGACGTCAAGCCGCAATAAAAACACCTACAACTGTTAATTGCATGAGTCGGGTGATACCGCTAATTGAGAAAGCTTAATTCAGATTTTTTTGTCTGAAGATGCCACTTAACAATTTTTCGCGTCATTTTGAGTAGATCCTGCGTGTCAAAACTGATATTCAGTGCGATAGTGCAATAAAAGCAAGAGGAGAAATCGGCACATATCGATCACTATGTCATCAGTTTTATTAGAGCTGCTACATATAATGCAGCTAGGAAGCTATGTTTCAATCAGAGAAATTGCTGTCACGAAACTACGTGCTTGCAGTGGAAATAAAAAGCTTAGTTAGCAAATGTTTGAAAACGAAGAAGACGGGTCTTTGTTGAAAGCTCGTGTGGCAGCGAGTTCTATACTCCTATTGTTCAAGGAAAAACGATCACTTGTGGCTTTTGTATGCCATCAGTTTTGCGGAAAACAGCTCGGAATGGTCAGTCAGGCATAAAGTTGGCACGAATACAGCGAGTACAATTGAAGTTCTTCATAAGTCATTTACGCATTCACGTGTGCACACCTCCCAAACATGTTTTTCAGGGTTGTCTGATTTGCTTTTATTTAATGTAAAACATTAGTTCAAACAAAGTTGTGAAGCCTCGTTCCACTTGCTACATCGCTATGTTCTTCTGTCACTCGCTCAGTTATATTTAATTTCGCTCTGCACCCTCCTGTCTGCGTGTTTCACATCAGATACACGAAAATGCTATTGCTTGAATGTAAGCAATTACAGCATGAACATACTGGCAGTTGAATGCCCGAATGAACACAAAACACACCAGCTGTACGGTTTATTAAAGAAAACACATGCATTCAAACAGCTTACCTCGCAAAGTGAGCCACCATCATGTGGCGCACACAGCACGTCGTCGGCAAGAACGATATCAAAGTGCTTCAAGCAGGAGTTCTTGCTCAGAAGAGTCAGCTTCAGCTCCTTGAGGGATCTGCTCATGCGACGGTATCCCTTTCCTATGTGCACATGAAGAGAGAGGAGGAGCAGTTATATTTGGTACACTTATAACCGTTGCGGAAGAGTACGGAGATAGTATATCTAATATCGTATGTGAGAGCTTTAGCGGCATTCACGTATGCCATTTGGGCGGCTGCAGTATCGAAGCTGTATATTGCGTTGCCCGCCCAACCTCGTGAACTACTCTGTTTTAGCCGAGCTCGAACAGCTACCCGAATATAAAGTAGTGCAGGTGATAATGTTGTATACAGACGATGAAGGTGTGCAAGCGATGACATGTAAGAATGATATTACGAAAGGAAGGCTTATGGTGAGCTCAAAACCAATTTACCACCATGACTAAGATATTCCCTCTCATTGGTGACAGCGCAAAACTATAAACTAGGATAGTATAGGGTTCTGTATAGCAACTGTATAGGGTTCCTTCAACTAAGAGACATTGTTCAAAGAAATTGAAGCTTCCACAAGGATTGCCAAACAGCATTGCACGCATGAACCTTTATACAACTGCAATAAATGTGCGCCAACTAACACTTAGTGTTTTGTTGAATGCCCTAGTCACCGTGTCTTAACCATAGTGCCAAACAAGCAAAGCAGGTTACACACGCGGTCTAGCGGTCCATCCCGCCGTGTATGCCTCGGAGTCTGTTGGGAAAGTTTCCTTTCGGTAAGGGAGACAGACTGGTGAAATGGCAGTTGTGAAAGTTCACCGGCTGTGCAAGAGTTATGATGGCAATATCGTTGGCCTGCAAATAAACAACAAAAGTACGTTGCAATATGAACATTGTTGAAGTAGAGCTGCTTTGACAACTGAACTAGAAAAAAAAACGATCACACGTTTTTTATATCTCTCGCCATTAGGCGATGTCGAATATTGTGTGGATCCTTATTGTGTAATTATATAACAGAGAATGAAGCTTTTATGACTATTTGTTTCTATTCTAAGGTGAAACTTTGGCTATGATAATTTTGAAGGTACCTGAACATAACGGTGATGGCAAAAACTTACTAAATTACAGTGTACACAATGTGTAGGCAGAGGTAGACTAACGCAGGTACTGCTCACCAAAAAATTATGATGAGCATGTAGATATGCCAGGCATCCTGTGCTGAAAAGCTCTACTTGGTGGCACATATTTTGATTACTGCTAAGTTTCAAGTAAGCGAAGAGTACACTACACAACATGAGCCTGTTCTGCAAATGTAAAAACTTAGCATACACAGTTGAAGTGCTTCGCATACAAGTATGTAAAACTGGCCACTTTCTTGATGATATCCTGCCTGCCTGACTACTGCGGTATAGAAAGAACTATTTAAACAAAATTATATTCCAGTTTTGTACGTTGTTTGTGTAGTATACGTACCACACGAAGGTGAAATAAAAAAATAAGAAGAAACATTTTCATTTTTCTGAAAGAGCGTTAGGCGTGGGCACACATGCTTAACACAATAAGGCGAGTCGCGATTCTCACAGCACTGAATAAAATAACAGCTCCCCTAAAAACCTTACTCAACGAGCTAGTAATTCACACAATGTTTTAATCCAAAATGTGGGCTCCACTTCATGACCTATGCTAATTTGAGCGCAAAAGCGAACACCAAACAGAAAAAGTGCTTAGGGCACTAATTTAAAAAAATAAACGAACAAGAAGCACGCCCACAAGAAGGTTTTTCAGTATCCTTTGCTACCAGGTAGCAGTGGATATCTTATTATGTCATGAGAATGTTGTATATTAGGCTTTTATGGCTATTTGTAACCAATAAAGAAGGAATAACACAGCTCGTGCAGGGGCCATTTCTTACTTGTTGGTTATAAATAGTCAAAGGTGCTTCTCTTTATTGCAGAATGGAGATCAAAGCTCGGATGACGCGGCCTCGTTTTCTATGGAGGTGATAATGCTTCTGGTACGTGTAAGTAGAATTAGGTGGACATTAAGGAACTCCAGGTGGTTCGAAAAATTCCGGAGGACTCCACTACTGCATCCCTCAAAAGAAAGTGTAGCGTTTGGGACGTTAACCCCACACAGTTATTGTTACTATTGTTAGAGCAATGAGTTTACTAAGCACTGCCGTGCTTCAGCAATCAGACAAGGACCTATTGCATATATAGCAACAACAACCTACATATATATATATATATATATATATATATATATATATATATATATATATATATATATATATATATATATATATATATATAACGGAAAAAAAGTGTATACCTAAGGGCTCGTTTTTCTGTGTTTTAACACAATATTAATGAGATATAACAGACAGTAATGCCAAGGAATGTACAGGGGAAGTTATTAGAACCAATGGAATGTAAATAAGAAGAAAGAAAAGTGGATGAAAAAATAACCAGACGTGAGCAGGAATCGAACCTACGACCTTCGAATAACGCGTTCGATGCTCTAACCACTGAGCTACCACAGCAGCCTTCCCTCCATCCACTTTTTTGGGTTTATATGTGAATTTAGAAGTAGGAGTGACAGTCAGCGCCATCTATAAGCCAAACAATGAGTGTGAAAACACTCTTATGCGCATGTTTGGCGTCACGTAGCACGTGAACTTATTATGAGCGGGCAGCTGATTAATTGTCCCTCTTTATACAACCTAAACACACCAAGTCTGCCAGTACGAGACCCTCGTTCAATGAAATAAGGGAAAAAAGTGTATACTTAAGGGCTCGTTTTTCCGTGTTTTAACACAATATTAATGAGATATAACAGACAGTAATGCCAAGGAATGTACAGGGGAAGTTATTATTAGAACCAATGGAATGTAAGTAAGAAGAAAGAAAAGTGGATGAAAAAATAACCAGCCGTGAGCAGAAATCGAACCTACGACCTTCGAATAACGCGTTCGATGCTCTAACCACTGAGCTACCACAGCGGTCTTTCCTCCATCCACCTTTTTGGGTTTATATGTGAATTTAGAAGTAGGATTGACAGTGACAGATTTTTTCATCCACTTTTCTTTCTTCTTATTTACATTCCATTGGTTCTAATAATAACTTCCCCTGTTATTACTGTCTGTTATATCTCATATATATATATATATATATATATATATATATATATAATATATATATATATATATATATATATATATATATATATATATATATATATCCCTACTTTTTACTGGTTAACGAAGAAAGCTTGCGTGCAGTACCAAGAAGAAAAGGTTCGTCACAACAACGAATCACAAGCGTTAACTTACGCTGCCAGAATAGTTCTGGTGAATGCACATTTCCTTGACGGACATTGCGACTTCGCCCTTGTCGAGTGTGCTGCGTCGCCATGATCCCAGGTGGACTCGTATGCCATCGCTTGTCCGTTTGCTGAAAGAGGTGCGAAAGTTATTTGCTTAGCTACAGTGTCAATATAGCGATAGTCATGCGCGAGTGAAGAAAATATTGATGCTATAGACATGGGTTCATCAGTGAAAAAAAAAAAGGATTCGAATATATCTCTGCATTTTATTACTACTGTTGAATTTGGGAACAGTCCTCCGCGCCGATACACTGGCTACGGTGCTTCGCTGCTGCCGCTGATCATGGACTTCATCCTGACCATGGCGGTCGAGCTTATTTCCAGGCTAGGCACCCGTGCACTGCGCTATGTGGTTGCACGTGAAAGAACACATGATAGACGAAATTTGCGGCGCCTTTCACAAGGGCAGGCAGTACATCACAAGTAAACGAATGGGGGAATATTCGGGTTAAACATACGCCTTACCTCAAATGAAGCTGACAGATTCAGTTTTTATTCCGTGGCCTGAGATGTAAGATTAATGCAAAATATCATTGTATTCTTTCGCGGTAGTACTAGCAGATATTCAGACCTAAGAGGCCACTTACATAATGGAGCATGACACATAAAACTAATAGAGCCTAACATTCTATTTCACACATGAGCGCACGTACAATGGAACGTTTCGGGACACGCGAACTGCCAATTCGATCGATATTTAGGCCACCTTATAAATAAGCCTATTGTATAGAGTGCAATCCTACTGCACAAACTTGATAACATGAACAAGAAAACCCGAGTGACGCCTTGATATTAAAGTAGCTGTACCTTGATGCTGAACTATTCTGAACATATTTTGTTAGCAATTTTCTTCATTTCTGTCGCTATTTGATTCGCACACTGTGCTGTCTCATACATTGTTTTTGCGCAAATGTATTTTTGTTTGCTTTTCGCCTACAAAAATATGAGAGTACCGGATATGCTATTAGAGCAAGCCCTACAAGTGTTCATTGAAAGAATCTCTGCTTTTCACCTGAGCGTATACTGAAGAACCTTATTTCAGATTCTTTTCATGAAGATGATATATAGGTTTTTCAGGAATCACAGATGCAGCTTACTCAATGCAGTGGGCTGCGGTGAGCACGTGCTGATCGCTGATGAGCGCTCCTGCGCAGTACTGCTCGGGCCGGAACTTGGCGATTGTGTGGATGGCAGCGTTCCAGGGCCAGTGCACTGGTGACACTTTCGAAGACGACGTGGCACCATCCGCGTAATGGTCTTCTCTAGTCGGTGCCGTGCCACACAGCCGGTACTCTAGATTAAAGTATATATTTATAAACTTGCAGTCCATCTGGCGAATCTCGTTATTACGAGAAAGGATTGGTACGTACACAGAAAGTAGGTAATTCGAAATGGTACGCCTTCACACACAAGCAATCTTTGACGAGTGCTATTTTTTAAAATATTGTCTAACATACCGCTAGTAAAACGTGGAATTCCACATTCGGTTCTTGTGGTACTGTTACAGACGTTAGTTTTTTTTCGTGGTATTACTAGCAACATAATGGAGAACAGTAGCAATACAGGTGGTGTGGCATGGCCGTATGTGCGTACGCATAATAGTGCTAGTACAACTTCTGTCACCTACACTTACGTGCACTTCGCCAAGTTGGTGACGTAAGAACAGACGGTCAACTTCTGTGACATGTCCGCAATTCCGCGAATCAATTTTATTCGAGGAGTTGCGCTAATACATTCAGTTGCCAGCACATCAAGCACACGGATCAAAACGTCGGCAGCACGTGGAAAGTTTCCTTGATCCGAATTTAATTTAATCAATACCTTGAAGAAGTGGCCCTACTTTTCATCAGTGATGCCGCTTACACACTTAATGCACTCAGTTCATTACTCAAAAGGTTGCCCAGAGAATGAGGAACTATCATCCTGCCATCTGTGATAGTTATGCCCAAGGGCGAAATTCTTCGCGGGAATGACATGACGCCCTTTGACCTCTGCGTATACGTGCTATTCATGAATTAGTCTGTGTTAAGGGAAACCGATTTTATTCAACAGGAACACTTGTGATTCTATTTGTAAACCATCGTCGCCAGATAATCCGAGTGAAAACTCTTCAGGCACTGGAAATTCTCTACGCACCTTCTTTGAATGGTGTGATTGAAATTCAAAGAAGAAACATAGCGCTCGCGTGGACCATAGTCTTAACTTCAATGTCGGTTATACTCCTACTTCAAACGTGTGAGTCGTCTAAATACTGCGCCTTCCGCGAAACGAACTTGGAGGGCTTGCAAAATATTGTATGCATAGCCTGCAACAGCCGCTGTGCATCTCTCGCTGCATTTCAATATTAGACACAGATTAACGATTTCCAGACCTGTTTAAAAAAATACCGCAAAAATATATTGTATATCTCAGCAAAGGCTCCATGGAAGACTCGTCAATTTCACTTCAATTGATTTAATTCATTTATTTACCCTAAAGACTCCAGAGAAACTTACATTAGGTATGGCTTTGAAACAAAATTACACAATTTTTCTACGAATAAATCTTGCGAAGAAAGTAAGAGAAAATGCTGTTTCTGAAACGCTTTGTCATACTTGAAATGGTATTAAAAATGCCAATCATTAGTCCCACTTATTAGAAGCAATGGCTTGGATTTCGTGCGTAGGCTGTTTCAAAAGTAAGCATATAATTAAAAGAAATGGAAGGGAATGAGCGCACGTACAAAGCGGGTACGGGGCATTGTACAAAGCAATTGCGCATTTATATGAGAACGCCGAGGCAGGCAAACAGGGAACATTAAAGCCATAGAACATAGACCTATTAAAGGACATGACGCAGCAGCATACGCAAAATGTGCACCGTTAACTATTTAAAGGTGTTATCGATGTGTACTGCTGCGGTCGTCGAATGCCCAGTTTGTTTTCGAATGGACGACGAAAAAAAATTTGCCGAGCTCCTGCCCCACGCGCTGCACCACGAGTAACAAACATTTTTAATCTCAGTCGCTTTAACCAGTATATTGAATTCAATATTGACGTGAAGACAATTAGAAGACAATTCGACAATGAATAGCAAGGTTCTATACAGTGGCATCCGCATAGTACTTTTGGGCACTTGCTTTTCTGAAAGAATTCAACGTATTCAGCATGCCTTTAGTGCAATTATTCACCAAGAGGCTAGACGAGTATTCTTTGCCACATTTTTTGTACGAGTTGTAGAGTCTTCCTGTAATATCTAATTTGCTAGCATTGCTAAGATAACGGCGAAACTATTTGAGACCTTGCTAATTGCAATGCTTCCAACAAATACACTACGCCGCTGCCGCAACCGCTAAAATTATCAACGAAATACAATACCTGAAAGTGCATCCAAAGGTGAGACTCTGTGATCTTAAGTACAAGCGTATTTTACCAGCTCTATTTCAAACAGAAGCGAATGCCTACTGGCAAATGATTACGGTATGAATGCTCTTAATCTTGTGTCGCGCGATTTGGAGGCATCGGAAATAAACTGAGACAGTTTACATACTTTAGAGACGTGTTTCTCAATACGCGACAAGATAGAGGCATCAGCTCACCATTGCCGGCCACCAGGGGTAAGGTGATCATGACGGCGACGAGGCAAACGCTGACTTCCATGTTTTCAGTGATGGTTCGTGCGCTACCGACGCGTTCAATCGGTCGTTTCATGACGCGGAGTTCGGCGGCCTATGTATGCCATCTGGTGGCTTCCCTCCCTCCTCGCCCGCGGCCGTGTTTCACCACTCGACCGTCAGGCAGGGAACGCCCTTGGAGATAGGGTCTCTGCAGTGGCTTCAAAGAAAGAAACTCTTTCCCCGGGTTCACGTGTCCCCGCGTAACATTCCCGGTTTTAATGTCTCTCTCCTTACATCGCTCTTCGCCACACGTCAGCGGTTCCCCCTAGTGCTAGCGTGACTGCCTGCATTCCTAATGCATTGGGCTCTTTTTAATTCTCGTTTTATGTCTCTTTGGCAGCTCGAAAGTGTACGTGTTCGGTGAACAGAGTGGCGCCGAAAAGGTTGTCGCGCCACTTGAGCCGTCTGTCCGCAAGAAAAGGACGGTCTTTAGAAGAGAACGCCAGACACTGGATACATTTGTTTACGGCCGAGCGGCAATTCGCCTTCCGGAAACACCCTTAGTGATGCACCCGCCTTTCCAGGACCCTCTATTTATTTTTATTGTAGAGACTCGCTCTGAAGCAATACGTGTCCTGATGCGTAACGCGGACCGTGTACCGGCCTGACGCCACGTGGGGCTCACCAGTGACGTAGTAACACGCGCAACGCACTTTGAAAGTTAATTAACTCAACTTGCCAGGTTTGATTATCGCGCTTGTAAAAAAGCCAGGAACGACCGGTGGTAAAGTGGCCGCGTGTCCGGTTCGATAGCCTGCTCAGAAGCGGATCTACTTTACGCAGCAGCGTTGAAATTGACGTTTATGTTTCTCTGAGCTGGGCAATTAAAAGTGCCACTCTCGAGGGGTCTCTCAGTATGAATTGGTGCGTATCGACACGCTCAGTTTGTCCGGTTTAGTAATCAAGGAATGGAATGTACAATTAAAAGTGGCATGTCTGCATTACCAATAAATGGAAATCCCACCTCGTTAATGCCTGCGACAGACACCTCTTGAGTGTCACAACGACAGCATAGTGCAATAGAAGCCGTAAACTTGGCACGTATAAATCTCACACGCACGACTATTTATTCCTTTTTTTAATACATTCACGCATAACACCTAGTCCTGCCGATGAAGGAGACAGAGATGTGTCGCTGCCACGATAGCTACTAACACGGTTTTTATTCATCACCTTTGGATTGTTGCTTTATCTAAGCAAACATTCTCCTTTCTGGAATAGTTGATCATTGCGAATAAGTGGAAAATCGAGGCTCCAGATTATTAGCCTTAGAAGGGCTTATGATGCACAGTTCCTGTGATTCCTTCACCTGTGCAAATATTCTAAAGCGCAAGGCAATATTGGCAGTTCCTGATGAAAAGTTGCGTGTCCTGATGCCCTGAAGCCTGTTTTGTACGGTACGTCTGGTTCTTTATTTCGTATCATCTTTTTCTGGAAAAAAGATTATTACGTCAGATTAATGCTGTTCATGGCGTAAATAACAGTGTAGTAGCTGAAATATACGATTGTAGTCATTGTTCAAAATGAAACGCCCTAAAAGGGTACTCAAAATATTATACAAAAAAGGTGATATGCAGCCTTACTAGCCCCTGTGGTTTCTACCAGCATCACAGGATTTTTCATTTAAGAGTGGAAGTGTAAACACTATAAAATGTTCACGCATATCCACGTAAGAAATTCTGGCGAGTGAGGGAAGTTCCTGGTATAGTATGTGTGTGTAACCGTGCGTGACCCGAGTTTTGTCCCATTTAATATCAACTGAGGGACATAAGGAAACATAAACTAGAACAAGGGCCGACGATAGAGCTAGCTCTTCAAGCCCGTAACATCTACGTTGCGATCGCCAAGTAGTATAGAAGGTTTCTCTCGGTAGGTGTTTTATACTGTTTGGTCACAATTATAACTAATATAGAAGTGGCACACTTCAAATGTCACTTTATTTATTCCGTAGGAATATTCCGTCACCAGAAAAATGTACTCAATGTTTGTGACGCCGACGCAGTCGGCGATGTCCGCAAATCCACGCTCGCACTGCTCCATCGACTAGCTTGAACTGGCTTGGACCACGGATGATGGGAGCTGACAGCGAGATGGCGCCACTATCGGCATGACGCCCCTCATTTGCTCGCGCTGTGATTGGCTGCTGCCACGCGGTGGTGCGATGTGGCAACGAAAATATTTGCTGTGTCTTCGGGGAAGTGTGCGACACTATTTCGGTATCCCTATTGGTAAGATATCATATGCACGAACCTTGCCTCTTGGAGTTGTTTTTAAATTCCATTAGCTTTTAAAACGTCACGTACTTCACCCCGTAAGAGGTGCGTATCGCTAATTTCGATTACATTAGGCCAGCTTGCATGATTGCAGCAACATGCGATTGAAACACGTCTTACAGCGTGGTCAATGGGAAATTCCAACAGAACTGGCCGCTTCAAGGATATTTATGGCACTCGCGATATCGTCAGTGCTGCGTCCTAAAAGCGAGATGACACGTTCTGACAGAGAAAGAGCGATGCAGGAGCGGGACGTTGAGCTGGTCTGGTACTCCCTCTTGTGACTGTACTGTGACGACGCACGTTAGTGACGAGTACGGTATCAACTTTTAGTTTTACCAAAAAAAAATTCTAACCTGGGGGGGGGGGGTGATCTTGCATACGGCGCGCGCGGCGAGTCACAGTAATTACGGTCCGATATGTATGTGCTTTTTTTAATAAAAAAGAATGCTGCATTAAAACTCGCTGGTTATATATCAGAGACTTTAGAGGTTCTTTGTGAGAATTTTTATTCACTCCTTTGGGTACGATCGTAGCGTCTTTTATTGGCTTGGGGGATTTTTCATAGAATTGCGCTGATATATGGTACAGAGAAAATGACAAAGTAGCAACTACAGAGTTCGTGTTAGAAAGCACACTGCCGTGGTGGATATAATAAATGATTTATTCACTATCACCGAACGAGAAATGATGCCATTTACTGTACCAGTAGACTGACAATGAAAAGGTGGGGAATAAGGAAAGAGATGCAAGCTCTAAGTTCATTATGGTATATGAAATTGCCAAGTTTAGCTGTGCGCAAATATGACTAAGTTTAGGTGCCGGTGGCAGTGTAGAAGGAACATCTTGCATGCCTGGCTAGCTTATAGCTACTTTTTTGCTAACTCGATCTAACCAGATCATCAAAATATTTGGGGCCGTCCTCACCGTTGCCTTAAGACCATTCGGTGTGAAAACAGGTTTGCTTCCAGCTTCTTAGATTTAATTAGGCACTTGCATTAGGCAAAACAAAAAAAAAAAGCTTTTAATTATATCACTTGGCATCCGGAAACACCTTTGCATGGGACTTCGTTTTGAAGACCAGCGATTATTGAATGCAACTTTAAATCATAATTGAAAGAAGACAATGCAAAGCGCTCTGCTTTCTTGGCTCTCGGCACTAATTGGCACTAGAAGACGAATATCTTACGAATTGCTTTTTGCCATATCTTGGGATTTTGTACAAATCGGGAATCGGTAGCATTGACTGCGCAGGCTACATCATCACTGAAGAAATAATTGCGAAAAAGACTGCACAGTATGCTTGGATGTCATCGTCTAAACCGCTATAATCTTGAGAACTCACGCCATACTCGTCTTTATCGTTCCACAATGCTATCGCTTCAACCATTACGCGGGAAAACGGTGTCACTAGAGAGTATCATAATAGCGTTCGTAGCATTTGCATTGCTTTATGGGTGCACTATATTAAAAATACGACGTGCGTTTGGTTAGCGTATGACGTCTGCGTCGTGGAACCAAATGCTGATGCAAGGACCTGTGAAGCCTATTCTAAAGCTGTCTATTTTTGTAACAACCCAAGAAACTTCGTTACTCTACCCCACATGGTTTCTAATGTTATGCTTTAAACCTTGAGATAATGGTTTAGAAGGATTCGTGAAGTATTTATGATTTTTTCAAAATAGTTAGCGGTCACCGACGTTAATGAAATGTGACCCTTGCTTTAGCAAACACGTTGTTAGCGACAACTACTGCATTTGTTTTGGCTTTCCAAACAGGTGGTATATTTGACTTCATTCTAAAAGAATGTACCCCCTTTTCCGGAGTCTGCGATTTGTACGAATACAAAATACAACACCAAGTGATTCTCTCTGTCAAAGCTGTTCATACTTAATTATTTCGACCAGCAACTTCACAGATCGACGCACTCGTAGATGTCTATAAGCTAGGTGAGGTACAGAAGCTTACACAAGTTTTCTATTACCGTGATTTGTTATGTAAATATTGTGAAATATTTGACTCTTCGGAGTGACGTGTTCAGGAATGCTACTGTGCTCTTTGTATATTTTTTTGTTATGGCGGGATTATGCTTAATTCAACTGAGTTTTCAAGAGCTTTTCACGATGACGCACTAATTTGTTGCATAAAACAATGATGAAGGAACTCCATAATCAGAGTTTTCGTAACGTTATATTGTAGGTCATCGTCCAATAACAAGTTCGTTTTTGCACATTTCATGAATGACACTCACATCAGAATGTATAGGTGTCAGAAAATGAAGAAGTGATCGTTCTCTATGCTTCTTACTTAAATTCGTGTCCCAAAGAGTGATTTTATTGACCAGAGTTGTGAAGGACACTGTACCAACACCGATTTCATAGCAATTTCTTTCACTGTAGGTTTGCTACGCTGGACACTTAGCGGCTATAGGAGTTACTAGACGTTCAGTGGAAACTGTATGCGTGAAAATAAATCAGGCGTCACACTAAAGTAATTGAAACGCCCAGGTTTGACTCTTCATTTCCTACTACCACCTGCTCCGTGGCGAATACATTATTGTGGTGCTGCGCATTTCGTTTTTTTTTTCATTCCGCGGAGGTTGTTTGCCTGGAAATACATTTAATATCTACGCAACACCGACCACTTCAAAGCAATTTCTATACGAGACACGTAGGTCTAGTCTTTTACCTCATGCTGCTGCATTGATTATTGTACGTTCATTCGCAGAAACCTATTCGCAGACG